CACACACACACACACACACACACACACACACACACACACACACATCCATAGATTAACTTCATCCTTTTACTAAAGGCCGTTTACAGGAGCAAAGCAGTACAAACTAGTCATCTGCATATGGATCCATATTCACATCTTGTAGTAGGTAAATAGAGAATATATATACCAGTAGTGAGTCTCTGTGTAGATAGCAGCGCCACCATCCAGCATGCTGGCTGGCTTCATCATGAAATTATACATGAATGTGAGATTCCAACAATATATTTGGTTCTTAAGCAAATGTGGAACATAAAACTGTTTGCACTTCACTCCTCCATCGGGCTCCGTTGTTCCTTTTTTGTTTGTTTCCTTCACATTTCCATCATCTTTTTCCTGTGCTTGCTCCATCTGCCTATTATTTTTCCAGTTTGTCATCGTTAGTGGCTCGCTAACCCTTTATTCCAGGGGGTCTGTGTGGAGACAGAGAGCGATGTAAAAGTGAGGGTAAAAAAATGATCAGAATGAGTTAAACGAAGAATCAAGGGAGAAGCAGGAGGTAAGAAAAAAGACTTCTAATGAGCAGAGTGATACACAGAGAAGTAAGTGAGAGTGAGCATGCAGGAAACAGCTGGTAAATCATGCCAAGCAGTTAATTAAAGGAGGAGAAGGAGGAGGAGGCTGATTGGGATTTCTCATCTCTGCCCAGGGAGTGGTCTTCAAGACTAACAAATAAACACACATTTCCTGCCACAAAGGAAACAGGCCCATCTCAAACACAAGCCGACATTTACAGATTTGCTCAGGTACAAATGCATCTTGCAGGAGCTTGTCTTTTTGCAGTTTTGGCACACACATCAGGAAACAGAGAGGGAGACAAAAAAACAAAAAGACAAACTGGCAGGGTGAGAACGAGGCAGCGATGAAGCAGCGGACTCGCTGCACTGGAGGGAAACTGTGTTCTTACACTGTGTTTTTCACCAAACCAGGGATTTGGAGCGGGTGCTGACTCCTTTCCTCCTGCTGGCTGCTGCTGTCGTTGCGTTACGATGGCTTCGCTTATGTGACTCCAGGTACAACTGAGGAAAATCATTCACAAATACATTCAAATGTTATGCAGATGTATGCTAGTGGTTTATTTTCATTTTATGAAGTCACTACTGGCCAAATGTGTTTTAATGTTGTGGTTGCAGGAAAAATAGCATACGGATGAATGCTTAATCTATGGATGACTTTGATTAATCAATGAATCATTTTGGTTATATACCAGAAAACTGCAGAGAGTCCAAGGTGACTCATTTAAATGCAAATTTGTGCTACTTCCTGTCTCGGTCAGAGCACTCTTTAAAACTGTTGACATTTTTAACCTCTGTAAGACTTTCTGTGGTATAAACAAAGGTTATTTGGTCTTTGTCAGTATCTGCCTATTCTCACAGGGAGAATTCGTGTCAGTCATACCTTCTTAGCAAAGGCCCGTCCACACTGGTCACAAGCGTGAAGGGAGAAATTCTTTGTCACTCTGACTTCAGTGGACGATGTCCCCGTGCTGCTCTCAGACTGGGCGTCATGTCGCCGCGTGTGTGGGGTTTGGTTGCTGGGTGAGGAAGAGGTGATGGTGGTGGTGTTGGTGGAGGAGGAGGAGTTGTTGCGTTGGTGTGTGTGTTTTTCGCTGCGACGGGTCAGCGGGGGACTGATGGGGTGGTGCTGATGGGTCTGCTGTCTCTCTTGCTTACGGGTGACGGGAGGGGACGGGGTGAAGACTGTCGACGACAGCTCCTGTTGTTTACGAGTGACGGGGGCTGGAGGTGGGGCAGAGGAAGAGGAGGCTGAAGAGGCTGTTGGGCCAGTTGTGGAGCACTCTTGCTTACGAGTGACGGGAGGTGAGGGGGAGGAAGACGACGAAGCGTGACGTCCGTTCACTTCCTCTTTGACGCTGCTGCCTGTCCTCTTGTTCGAATTGTTGAGGACTACCTCTGCTAGCCTCTTCACTGCCCTACTCTCCAGTTTGGGCATGATCTTGGCGAGGTACGTGGATGACTTCTTGTGAACTACGGTCACGTGACGCAAGACGTCGCGCTTGCGACGCGACTCGTAGCGACAGAGAGGGCAGCGGTAGAACTTAATGAAGATGTCGTTGCCGTCTGTGTGCAGCTCAATGTGTTTTGTTAAGTTCTGACGTGAGCTGAACTGTCGTTTGCACAGCTTGCAGAAAAGCTGCTTAAAGTCAAAGCCCACTGACAGTTTCGTCATTTTGGTGGCCATGCTGCCACTACACGCGTTTCCCCCACGGGAGGATGATGATGATGATGATGATAATGATGTCATTTTTGGGCTTGACGGGGCCTCTTCCTCCTTCACCTTCGTGGCATTGTGTGCCACAGAAACTCCTTTAGCTGTGCCAGTGCTGTCACTAGGAGAAGGTGCTGGACTGCTGACAATGTCCTCGTCGTCTTCTTCATCCGAGGGCTCCACTGCTTCCTCCTTAACCCTGACATTGTTGTTGACAGACAAGTTAGTGCTGCTGCTGTTGGAAGTGGCTGCTGCAGCGGTGGACGTTGCTGTACTAGAAGACTTGCTGCTTTTCATGCTGTATATCTTGTGGACTATACGCATGTGCCTCTTCAACATGAGCTGAAACACACAATTGAAATTCAAAAATTAATTCACGTTTGTTTTCTGAAGGAGCAAATTACATGACGACAAAATACCAACTTATTAACAAACCCTACCTGTGAGCTGTAATTCCTCTTGCAGAGCGTGCAGCGGCATGATGCCGAGTTTGCCTGTGTCGAGGCCGGGAGCTGAGTCTGAGGTTTGGCTTGGTTTTGGTTTGAAGATGATGTTTTAGAGTTCACAGGGGTGGACTTGGAGCTGTGGCCACGTGTTGGCGAGGCATTGCTGCTCTTTCTGGGAGGCGTGACTTCCAGTGAGAAGGGCTGGCCGGGGCGTGAGGCGATGCTGGGTGTGATGGTGTCCCTTCGCAGACCACGATGCACCTCATCAAAGTGGCGTCGCACATTAGCTTTGGTAGCGAAGGTTTTGAGGCACACTGGACATGACTTTCCAGTAGGTGTGCTGAGTGTCCTCGGCCGACCTGTGGTGTCATGAAAAGGGTTATTATTGCGAACGATAATTCCTGCGGAAAAGTAAAAATTTCATTTAACATTAAAAAAAAACCCATAATTTTTTATAGCATGGTAGGTAAACACAAAGAACAATGAATAATAGCAAATGACCACAATTCGATACTTCACGTGGAATGTTTAGAACAATGTTACCAAAAATGACATCTAAAAAAATTCAAGCCCAGGCACTCGAGGTAGGTTTAAATGAGTAATAAATGCCTTTTACTTCATCAGGCTAAAGACATGAACATTTTTTGACGGTTTACATTCACCTAACACTCAAAAGATCCCCAGTTTGAGAGACTGGGAGGTGAAACAAATGCCTTCAGGGCTGTTCCAGGAAGGGCATACCATCTGATGTGGTGACCCTTTGTGAATAACAGAGGAACCAAAAGAAGCTTTTCAGTGTCAGTTCTTTGTAAAAACAAGTCAATAACTTTTACAAATATTGTAAGGGTATGCAAAATACTGTTACACAATAGAGGGAGCAAGTTATTAATATTACAGTAATGCAAAGATCCATTTATTTTTCTTTTTTCTTAAAGAACAAGGAGGATTGTGGGAAAGGACACAATTTTAAGTAAGTTTTGTTAGATATTATCATTTGTCAGGACAGGAAAAGCACAACAGAAACTACTAGTCAATTTACCAGCACAAATACAGATTGCATACCTTTCACCATGGACAGCAAGCTCGTAGGAACTGTGCGTGTCTCTGTAAACTTTCTGAGTTCCTCGAGTTTTGTCTGGTGCATTTTGCGGCAGTGGCGTCTGATGCTGCGGCGCGAGTTGAAGTCTTGACCGCAAAGACAACAGGAGATTGTCACATCTTCAACCTGAATGAGAGTGAGAGAAATAAGACTGAGTTACTCAGCATCACAAACAAGACAACGCTTTGTCTTTGTTCTCTGCAACACCTACCCCACTGTTGGACCCCTCATCCTCAGGCGGTGGCTGCTCCTCTTTAGCCTCCTCTTCAGGCTCCCATCTCCTCTGTCCCTGGTTGTGTCCTGGGCTGTTGTGGCTTTCTGGTCCACCTGTCTGGTTTGCCTGGTTATTCTCCACACTTTCCATTGATTCACCCTCCCAATTTACTGGACTCTCTCTGGCACTGCAAGAAATACAAATATATCAGAAATGAAGAAAAGACATGATCTTAGAAGTTGTGGTACATCTTACTCCATCAGCGCAGTGCTGACCTGGGTGTGTGTGATGGAAACCGAGCAAGCTCCTCCTCTGTGGTGAGGTACTGAAACACAGCCTTTGTGGTGGTCTGAATGGGCTCCAGTCGGACTACGTAATCTGGCCGATCGGCTCGTGGATAGATAGCATCCAGTAAATCCTTCATGGCAACACTCTGCCTGTCATCACCTGATGAACCTATGAAAGAAAAATCCCAAGAAACAATCAATCAGCTGTTTGTCACATAATACACAAAAGAAAAACAAATGTATGCAAATAAACACAAATAAACACAAGTATATGAGTGTGACACAGGTGTTCAGTCTCAGTGAAATCTTTAGAAGCTGAACTTAAGTCTGTATGACTTGAAGGCTATTCTGGTGCAGCTGCCTTATAAAGAGCAAGCTAGAAATTTGTCATGAAAACATTTGCCTTGCTAAAAATAAAATGCTAATACCGGCTGTGTTCACATGAGGTTACTACAGAGCCATGTTATACTGACAACACCCATTTAGAAAGGATATTTGAATATATATCGGAAAAAAAGATCATGAAGACAAGGTAACCCAAAATGAAAAGATTTTAATTAGTGGAAAATGATCCTCATTCAGCTGTAATGCCATCACCTGAAAGACTGCAATTTGGCCTAATGGGCTGCTACATCATACTATTAAAAAGAGAAACAGAAGCAGTCATTGTATTCATTTAAAATCTCTGACCTGTGGCAAATTGCACAAAGGCATCAGATAAAAGTGCCCAAATCTAAACGGACAAAATAATCTCACAGGGGCCGACCAGCTTTTCTCTTTAATTTTCTTTTGCGCTACTGAAAAGAGGAGAGAGTGAAACAACATTTAATATGGTTGGAGTGTAGAGTGGTTGTGGTGATTCAGGTTATGTAGTGAATGGATGAGGGTGCAGGGCTACAAAACACAGTCTCTGTGCAACTTTAGATTAGCACATATCCTTGTCCACAAAGAGTATTTTATTTCAAGTAAATGCAAATGTTTACTCTTGACAGGATTAGGGTTTCCTCAACAATAATAAAGCCCTTATTTTATTCTCATAAATCACTGTGTGGTATGGGAACTGCAACAAAACTGATTTAAAGTCCCTCAGATGGATTATAAGGACAGCAGAGAAGATCACTGTGGCCCTACCACTTACAGAACTATACAATGAACACTGTATCTGCTCTACAGAGCCCTCCCATCAATTGTTCACTGCTCTGCTGTCCGGCATATCTGACCATCCAAACCAACACTCCCAGACACTGAAATAGCTTCCTCTCCCAGGCAGTAAGCCTCCTCAATACTTGGGGCCCCTTCATTGCACCAAGAGAGTGAACACAGGCTGCGCTCACTCAGTCATATTTTACACTCTAGTATGTGGACATGCTTTAGACCACAGGTGTCAAACTCCAGGCCTCGAGGGCTGCTGTCCTGCTTGTTTTCCAACTAGCCTGCCCTTGTAGCTTCTTATTGGCAAAGCACATGTAAACCAGGTAATCAGCAGCAGGTAATGCAGGGATATCTCAAAAACAAGCAGGATGCTGGCCCTCGAGGACTGGAGTTTGACACCTCTGCTATAGACTAACATACCTCACTAGCTCTACATTGAGACATATACACAGCCACCTTAAATGGCACAAGGAAATTTACGCTCTTTGAATAACCACATATGTTATCCTCTGGTATATTTATACACACTTTATAGCTACCAGTGCTGTTACTGTAAAGTCTGCCTCTGTGGTTGTTATCCCTACTGGCAATGTAATCATGATGTCAGTGTCTGCACTGTAGGGTTGTCTTGCACTGTTATGTAGTGCAGCATGGGTCATACCTGTATTGAACAAGTATGAATGAGTCATTTTCTAATATAATACACAACAAACCTTAGTTGATAGACTCCCGATTAGGAAAAGCAAAAACAAAGCTGTACTTACTGCCGCACAGATCAAAAAGCAGATGAAGATAATATACAATTAAAAGACTTTTTTTTAATAAGGTAAATAATATAACTGACTGTTCATACCAAGACAGCACTGTTTCTTAAAAGAAAGCAGAGAAAGCTAATGGAAAAATTGCTTGAAGACTTTCTTAGTGTACATCTTTTCTTGGAGCCTCCTTCCTCTTGTAAAGCAAAGAGACGTGGACTCATACTATGGCTAATGAGGAGTAGATAAAACAAATGGTGCGAGTTCAAAGTCACTCTGCTTAGTAGTACGAGAGGAGAAACTGCATGATGGATAGATGTGCAATGGGATGTGGGTTTGTGTGTACAAAGACAGAGACAATAATGAGTATGAGACAGATGGCATGAAAGAGAGTAAAGGAACCTTGGGAGTGAGATAAAGTCAAATTTGAAGAAGCAGAAGGCGACGTTAAAGAAATCAGAGGCTTTTTTCCCCCTTGCCAAGGGCATTTGTGTGTGGGTAACCTCAGGGATTTATGGGGCCCAAGCTGAAGTGAAGTTTGATCCCTGCTTTATCCGGGGACTTACAGTTTGTCTGGGGGTGTTAACAAGTTAATTTGAATGCCCCCAGTCTTCACAAAAGGTCTGTCCCCAGTTCTTGCTGTACCTATTGATTTTATTACTGAGTTTTCAGACATCTTCTCTGCTCTTTTGGGGGCTTTCTCAGCAGAATTTGGATCATGAAGATGTATTCCAGACATGTTGACGAATGTGTGTCTGCATGCTTAGGCACGTTGTCACTGACCATCAGATTCAGGCAGGCGTGATAGGCAGTAGTACTCCTTATGTGTGATGAGGTTGGGCAGGCCTCTGAACAGACTGCGGCACAGTTTACACTCAAAGATGGTGTCCACCTCCCTTAGCAGCATGTGTTTTAGCTGGCTGGTGCCTGCAACAAAAATATAAGGAGTCAAAAGCACAGATACAGTATTTTCAAAAACAGCCCTAAGCGTAGGTTGGCTGCAGCATCATTATGCTGAAGGACATTTTATTAGATAAAATTTGAATTCATTTATATTTTCACTTTTTTTAAGACTCTGTATTATATCTTGATATAAGAAACCGCATAGAAAATTAGGATTAATCACAGAGGAATGATAAGTTCCTGTATGCATGAAAACCCTGTAGGGTAACTGTGATAGATATCATAATCCCTGGAATTAGTACTTTGTTCCTTTAAAGGATTTCTGATAATGATAATGAAGTCTTTGTATTAAGGACTACACTCCTTTCATTACTTTTACTTTTTCAAAAACTGTCATTCAGCATTCATTTCAATTGTGCATCTGTTCAGTGCTTTATTGGGTATGTGACGCATTGCTGCACCTTCCTTTTATTTACATGTGTCCATATATATATGCACATAGACACATTTATGTTATGCAAAAATCAGAGTAAACACCGTTAGGAGGACTCACACAGATGTCAGAACCACACACACACACACACACACACACACCTGCCACTTCATTTTATCCTTTGCCCTCTGCCACTGGCTCAGAACTATATGTGTAGTGGCATGGATTACAACAGCAAGGCATAACCACAGTGCGCTTACAATTTAGAGGTACAGAGCAGAAGATCAGACTAAACACAACTGGCTGAGTTCAAGCAGAATAATCATTATTTCAACAGAAACATAATCTACAGTATTTTGAATATTAATGACTATTGTATTGTACTGTTGATTTGTTTTAAGAGACTTAGTTGGAAGGAAAAGCTTTCGATTTAATAAAATCTGTGTCTGAACCTTCACCTATGGGCATGAGCTCTGGAAAGCTTTTCAAGCATTCCCAGCTGGGAAGAGAACCGGGGGTAGACCCAGAAATCACTGGAGAGGTTTTATAGTTATATAGCCTCGGGAAGACCCAGGAGGAACTGTAAAGCACTGCTGGGCAAAGGAAAACCAGCTAATAGGTGCTCACTGTCATCAGATAAGGAGACTTTACATTGCAATACATCATCTACATATGTGCCTTTCAGGCAGACTTCAAGCAGACTGACCACAGTGTCTACAGCTGTTCATGTCCTTGTCCGCAAGAGAGCATAATCATGGCTTCAGGAATCAAGAAGTGCAAGATGGATGGAAGAGAGGGATCCTTTTTTCTTAACTCCTTATCCAGTTCAGGGTTGCCTCTTTTCAATGTAGCAATTTGCTGATATTTTTCAGACTAACCAATTAATCTATTAAATAAACAAATTAGAAATCAATAAAATTTGTGGTATAAAGGATGGCAATCCTGCTGATGTGTTACTGGGATTAGATCACAATTCCTTATGGCACTCCACTGTGAAAACTGTCAACACATATTCAACTGAAAGAAGGGAGCAATGACAGGAGTTCATAAATAAGAATGAAATGAAGGACAATAAGAAAACACAAACCAGAACGGAAGCATTCAATTATCTGCTGAATCCCAGACTTGGAGGTCTGCAGAGGCTGCTGGAGCAGAGGAGGATCACCCGGCTCCACACAGAGACCTAAAAAGAGAGAGAGAGAGAGCATTTTATTAAAGTGAGTGTGTAATTACAACAGAGTATGAAAGCCACTGAGAAATAAAGCATCACCTAGAAATTCTGGGGAGCTGGTGGGAACAAAGTATATTGCCAACGCCAGTGCTTAAAGGGCAAATACAATCAGAGTCAGACAATGAAGTCTGTTCAGGATAGTGATTCATTTTGAAATCATTACCTTCTAATACACACACACAC